AGTGATTCTTTGCATTTTCTCAAAAGGAACCATGTGTCTATCTCGTTTCCTTTTGCCTGTTACAAACATATCCACAAAGACATAATACCCTGTACCACAGTGTGGTGAAGGGTATAAAAAATAATTAAGCGGGCCTTTATGTGGGAGTGATGTAAAAATCATGAACCTTAATTGGAACATTCTGAAAGATGTTGTTGGGTCCCATCCCACTTTATATAGGCGTTAGTCCAATGAAAAAATATCGAAACATAAAACCATATCGTCAATTTGACCAAAATAATTAAAAATCGAAAGGTAACGATTTATAGGGGACATTTCAGAACATGAGTATACTCGACATCCCAAATTTTTTAGACAATTCTGTTGAAACTTTCCAATGATGATAAAATAATTTCAAAGGTGGCTATGCTATGAAAGAGCACCTCATTTGAACAAATCTAAAATCGAGCCTATGCCTTCATATTAAGACATATATAGAGAAAGGTATTAACTGATTTTGAAACGAGTTAATTTTATTTCAGAAACTACCTATCCCAATCAATTAAAATTTAGCTTTCCCACCTATTCTTATTCCACACAAACTATTCCATGCCATATTCTTATTATCTGCATCGTTTATTTTTTTCCTATCCCATATTTAATAAAATATTTCATCATACATTTTTGTGCTAATTTGTACGAATTGTATCGCCAGTAAGACAGCCCGCCAGCTATCTATCCATCCACTTGTGGTCACACCCCCCATATAGCCACCAGCTTATCAACAATGACTGACTGCCTACAATAACGCCCTACTCTCGCACAACAATTTCAAAATCGTATCAACAGACCGATTTGTGTCGTGTTAAACAAAATGAATTATCAGCATGTCTGTCCCGTAGACGACAGTCTAGTGAAAGTATCCCCTCACCCCAGTCCAGAATGTGTGTATATAAACGTCTTCCCCAATAATCGTATCGGGTGATTCATTAGGGAAACAATTGAGAGACCTGCTATTTGGACTATCCCTCTATGCTGAGTCATTCATTGTTCAGCGTTTATATTTAAAATTGAATTAAAGAGCCAAATTCTAAAATAAGCAAGAAAACAAAATAAATAATTTCTTGAATGGAGGTAAATTTTCTATATATGTATGCTTGACAATGATGATATGTCTGCAATACGCTGCAAGTTGTTGTGCAGAATATATATTATTTAATAATAGTTTTCAGTAGCGTCTGTATAATTTGTATTGTGTTGATAATTAAATTTGTAAAAACGAAATGCAAAATTTCGGAGATCATGGATAATTTTCTCCGTAGAAATTGGTCACCTAACAAGAACCAGGATAGTGGAGGCTAGGTTAGGAGGATTGTTTAGGGTCCGACCTAACAGACAAGAAATTTTTCTCCAGGTAGAAATTCTTCCTACAAAAACCTTTCAAAATTGACCCACTTTTTAGGATGGTCCCCAAAGAGCCGTATACCCCACATTATTTATTTTAATGTTTTTGATCACGTTTATAGATGAATTGGTTCTAATTTGATATTATAAATTCTCATGTTTCGGGTTAGCCCCCAAATTTTCCTTTTTTACACGTTTTCCAATCTATTCATCTTTAATTTAATATTTAGGGTTCTCACGGGATAGTAAATCATCCTCCAACAAATGATCAATATTGGTTCATATAACACTACATCCCAAATATCGATATTACGGGGAGTTTTGGCACGTGTTTCAACCAAATTGGCTGTTATTTTATATTTTAGATGATCATTTCCTTTCTTCTTCGCAATATTGGACTAAGATACCGGGTAGACCCCACATAATGGCACCCCAATTATTCCGTACTTTTGGGGGTTTTGACACTGTTTTCAACCCAATTAGCTTTTATTTAATTCTTCAGATTATTATGGGCTGTCAATTTAACTATCAAAAATTATCAATATCAGTTTTCGTTTTGGTGTAGCTCTCGTATAACGGTACCGGGACATTGGAAGGCAAAATACGTGTTTGCAGAATATTGTCTATATTATTCTATGTTCATATAAAGCGCTCACATAAATGTCCCGCCCCATTTTCGTAATTTTTATTTATTAACCAGATGTTCCCACTGAATGTTTATACACTTCACCAAACTGTGGTACAGGGTCCGATTTTATGTAAATGGTGCATCATACTCCCAAAATTTGTTCGATTAAGACAGGATTTTGCAATTTTGTACTTAATTGAGTCAAGTTTGATGTCTGTGAAGTTTTGTTCAAATCGGTAAATGGTGCACCAAACTCCCTATATTTTTCCGATTGAGACAACATTTTGCAGAGTTATGCGAAGTTTATTGAAATCGGTTGAGATTAAATGGTGTACCGAAGAGCCTATCTTTTTCCGGTTTACACGAAATTTGGAAATTAAAGTTGCAAAAATCGGTTTAGATTTAGATATATTTCCTATATAAATTTTCGTCTGATTTTTTGTAAATGCTTCACGGTTGATCGGTTTTATACACCAAAGAATCCAAGTCTCCCCCCGTTGACACCATATTTCAGAATGGTGTTTTAATAGGTTCAAATATCTATGAAGATCACACTTTTATTTTCGCCCGATTCCATTTCGAAGGACCTATAATGATGATATATCTGTTCTATCTGCAGGATATTGTATATATTAGCATATCTTTGCATGTACCCTTACTGGTTAAAATAGGCTCCTGTATTGACATAGCATCCATTCCCGAAATGTTGAAGGTTTTCTTCGAATTTTCCACTAAAGTTGCGGTAATTTAGCAATACGAATTATTGGAGAGATGTTTCGACATATCCCCGATAGAAATGTGCCGCCCTATTATTGGTATTTTATAGATTTTAACCAAATTTTCTAATCATTTCCAGAATTTATCAATATTTTTTTTTTAATATTCGGTATATTGAAGTTCCTACCTAGAGTCTACAATTATTATTTCGAGAAGTTACAAATCATACAATATAATGGGGAGTAAAAAATTCGAGAATATTTTGAAATAATTCATTTAATCAGCGATACACTTCCTCGTGACCTACATAAAGTTTATGCATTCCACAATATTGACATTCAACTTGAAATATTCGAGAGTCTTGAATCGAGACTGATGAGTGACTTGTTGTTGGAATTGGAGAACGTGTGCTATTTTACATATTTATGTTCTGTTGAAATACAAGGTTGACAAATTTTATAAATTATTTTGCATCTTTAAATGTTATCCAATTATATATTAGGGTGGTTCACACACAGCAAGTAAAGGCAAAACTTTTAAACGGTTATCATTACCACAGAAGAGAATGTAAACATTGCAAATTTTACCAACCAGAAAGTTGAAGTAATCAAATCAGAACAGCGTAGTCGGACTGGGGCCACTGAAGTTGTGTAGAGTATCATATGGTCGGCACCGCTTGACTATACTTCTCTGTTTTCATATTGTATTCCTTAATCGTCGTACTGTCAAAATTTGTATTTTTGGAGGTGATTTAACTTAAAGCCAATTTTTCATCTGAAAACCATATTTTACCAGTACCACTATATATATTTGTGGCCTATTGATGAACGTCTGAATGGATACCATCTAAAATGTTTTATTATTTTCAAATTATTCTTCAGCGTACACATTTTTTCAACAATTAATACATTTTCCAAAAATATATTCTCTTGCTTTCATAAAAAAAATTAAATTTTTTTTAACTAAAATCTTTGAAAATTAAACTAAAACAGCAAACCACTTCAATATACCACAATAGGTATGTACATATAATCAACACATATTTTCACTTATGTACATTAACATGTCAACATATTATCAGCATGAAGCGATAGATCAATGTTCCGTGATCACGTGACCCTGAATCGCACCATTTATTTCATGGTCTCATCTTTGGCAAATTTTCTAGTCGATTTTATCAATACTTCCATGTTGTCGAGTGGTATGCAAATGTGACATCCATTCCATTTGACATATATTCAACATTTTGCCTGACATCCCCCCGTGACACAGTGGTGTTATTAAAATGCCCTGCCAAAAAAAATGGCGAATGATCAACAAGTTGATTGACACTTTGTCAATCAGACATGCAGATTGAAGGACCCTGGCGCTGAATATCAAATCTACTTTTTTAACTAATTACATATGTATGTGGAAATTTGCGATAAGTCTTAACGTCTGCCAGGCACTGCCAGTGGCGACAATGAAATCGCGCAACCCCCATATCAGCCAAAAATGAATGATGCAAATTTCATGAAATATTTCTGTAATAAAATTATTTTAGTTCTGTCTTTAGAATATCAGTTGAAAAAGAGAAAGGGAATATTTGAGATAATATGTTATGTTTGCGGGTCAATGTAAGATTTGAAAAAATGTGTCTACATATATAATATTTATTTAAATGGAAGTCAAAAAAGTTAAAGTTGAAATAAAAGTCCACTTTTTCCCGCTCTGATTAAGGCATATCCAAAAATGGTTTTCGTATGCCTCAATGGTATCTTCTGCGGAAATAAAAAGAAGTCAGGAGATGCCAAGTGAAGCCTGCATGGCTGAGTCGATGTTTTTGCCGCCCACAAAACTCTGGTAAGGGCCGAAGTGTGAAAGTTCGCGTTGTTATCATTCGGCAACTCTTCTTTGTTTTCGAATTTCCCACGCATACACCCGCATACCTTGATCTATCCACCAATCGCAATCAAAAATAAAACAAATATGAATTATAATTTTTTGTAGTTTTTGAAACTAATATGCATTTATATCATATGAGTATTCATTACAATTTTTCTTCGTAGTTCGTTCGTATTTCATTCTCTCTTCTCTCTCTCTCTCTCTCTCTGTCCTATATATTGATTGACTTATATTTAAATATCTAAAATTTAAAAAGTTTCGTAAAATTTAACAAAAAATACCTCCTTCGTATTTTCGAGATTAATGAAAATATATATTTTATAAAAATCAGTAAACTTATGCTTTATGAAGTAGTAGTGGGTGGTGGTGCGGGGTCGTTTCTTTACAATCAGTGGTTACAATCCTTTAGTGGTGAAGTCTGTTCTCTGGCCAAACGCAATTGTTCCAATGCCTGTTCATGGGCACGAAAATGTTCCTGTCGTGCCTTTTCCCAATGAATAAGAGCGGTGGCTGTATCGGCCGGTTGATAACTGGCGTGATCGGCAGAGGGGATTTTTATGGAATCGTCTTTGACGTGTTGATGTTTGGTACCCAAAGATTGTTGAGATGATTGAATGTAGCGGGCAACGGGTTCAGCTGTTTGCACTACAACCGTTTCTACTTGGGGTTGAACCTGTGCTGGCTGTTGTACTTGAACGAACTGATTGGCTTGAGCATCAACTACAAGATTCTTCAGGAATGGATTTTGAACTTGGAGTGGCTGTTGGACTTGAAGAAGTGGCTTGTCATTTGGATCAACTACAAGATTCTTCAGGAATGGATTATCACCGTATTGTGGTACAACAGTCTGCACTAGTACCTGGGGCTGAACGGGTTGCACGGATTGCTGTACTTGGCTGTCAACTACAACACTTTTGAGCTGGGGATATTCATTGTAGTTTTCTTTCTTTTCCGTCACTACAGCCACAAGGGTATCGGGTGTGGAAACTGACTTGTATTCCTCAGCAATAAGCGATTGTTTCAGTTGCTCCTGTTCGGCCTTATGCTGACGTTGCTGTTCCAACAAATCCATTGCCAAACGTTCTTCTTCCTCCTGTTTCAAACGCAACAATTCCGCTTCCATTTGTCGTTGTTCTTCGGCCAAACGTTCCGCCTCACGCATACGTTCCAATTCCAATTGTTTTTGTTCCTCTTTCAAGCGTTCCGCCTCACGCAAACGTTCCAATTCGAGAATTTTGTCTTCTTCTTTTGGAAGGATTTGTTCTGGCGTCTCAAGGCCAAGTTCACTTCTCGATTTCTGTTCTTTCTCAACGTGGGCTTTAACTTCGTTGAAAATGCGCAAATGTTGTTCACGTGCTTGACTGACCTCGGGTGTTTCTTCGGGGTGAACTACTTCGGGATGTGCGGAGTGGACAGAATCGGTTTGTTGGTGTTCCACTGCTTGGGCTTTCAGTTTTGCCTCGTTTACTAAGCGCAAATGTTCCTCGCGGGCTTTCACCACTTCGGGGGTATCTTCAATCTGAGGATGGACATTGACTTCTTGGGGGGCATGTTCAGCGATGCTATAAGTCACTGTACGTCCCAGTTGTTCAGCGGATTGAACCTTTGCCTGTACCTCCTGTACCAAACGTAGATGTTCTTCACGTGCCTTAACTACTTCAGGAGTATCGGCAGTAACAGCAGGATGAACATCATGGACAACAGATTTCACCTGTGGAACCTGGACATAATGCTCATGATCGGCATTTTGTTCTACGCTTGCAACCTTTGCCTTGGCTTCTTCAACCAGACGTAAATGTTCTTCGCGAGCTTTAACAACTTCGGGTGTATCAGCAACGCCATGTTGTTTTTGGGAAACAGATTGTGGTACCTCGACGTTAGTGTATTTGGGTTGTAACACTTCGGCGTGATCGGCAGATTTGGCGACATGATCTGAGTTAACCTGGGTGCTGTGTACTTTGTCTACAACTTCATTGACCTCATGACCCGAACGCTGAACATGATCATGACTTTTTTCTACCGATTCGTGGGATTTGCTTTCGAAGTACTTGTCGCGTTTGCTTGCCTCCTCTGCTCTCAATTTGGCTTCATTCCACAAACGCAAATGCTCCTGAGTGGCTCGCTCAATTTCTTTTAAACCATCTTCATGACTAGACACCTGTTTGACGGATTGCTCAGCGGCATGCTCATGGTGCACCTTGGGCACCGCCTCCGACACTAGACGGCCATGTTGTTCTTGCAGTTCCTGCCAATGTTTGATCTGTTCATTGTAAATACGCAAATGTTCTTCACGAGCATGGCTCTGTTCGGGAGTCTCTGAAACATGCACTGGCACCGTCAAAGGTGCTTGATGGACGCCATAAGTCTTCACATCTCCAACGGGCTTGTGCACCACTTCGGCCTGTAAATTTTTGATATGAGCATCATTAAATAGTTTCAAATGTTCGTCATAGATTTGCTTCACATCGGGCAGTGAAGCTATTAAACTAAAGTCCGAGGTCAATGCAATTTTTTCCAAAGGCTGAAACTTGTCCAACAAATCGGTTGGCGGTTCTGAGCCTTCAGCTTGCAAAGCATCAATTTCACGCTTCAGTGCCTGGTACTGTTGCAGCGAGTAAACGTGAAAGTGTGCTTCGCGTATTTTATCTAACTGACGAGACTTATCGGGGACATACACCTGAAGAATGGGATTACTTACGGCTGGAACACCACCAACATAGCTGATTTGTCTGACACCGTAAAGGGGTTCAGGATAACTGTAGGGCACTAAGCGTTCAACGCCATGGCTGTCCACATAACGTACATAGCCCTGTACTACAGAACTTTGCACGGGAAATTCGCCACGAGCCGGAACATAACCCACCAATGCCGACTTGTAAGGGTAACCAACAGCCATTGAGTGGACACTGCCCACGGCCAATAGACTTAAGAGAAACAATCTCATGTTGATGATGATGCCGATGAATTTATGTGAAACTCCGATTATTTTATTTTGTTAATTTTCACGAAGAAGAACTTCTAAACTACTGCGTCGTTCATCCAAATGTCCGCTCGATTGGTTGACTGATGCCTCGTAAGAAGTTCCAACGAAAACTGTGATTAGCCCATCGACGATTCACACTATTTATAGTGGCATCCTTTGCAGGAAATCCTCTCAATCATCCGTTATACCAGTTGCAAGTAACAGTAACAAAGGGCGAAGCAGAACCCTTCTCATTACAGCCAACCAGATTCTAAATGATCGACCTTGATCTCTGGCTGCCGTTATCAATTGAAAAGTCACCTAAAGTGTATGCAGGTGTGTGTTGTCCCCCTCAACTAAAGTACGTACGAATTTAAGGCAAAACTGGTCATTCAGGACAAGACGACATCCATAAATAGCCATATCGTTTTGCCATTTAACTGTTAACTGTTTTCTTTTTTTAGATCATCTTTAGTTTGCTGGCTTATGTAAGTATTCCCTATAAGGAGGAGGAGGAGGAGACTTGCAACAGTCGTTTCACTTGACAGTTCAAAATATGTTGCATGCTATCCGGTCATTGTTCTCTGCAGTGTTCTACCAATGTCATCACAAAATAAGTCTGAAGGATAAATGGCTTTGGTGATATATTGATCTAAAAATAACATACGAGGTGTTCGAATATTATTTTGTGATTATATCATGTAACGGATTTCGAATATAAAAATAGGTTTATTCAGTGGGAAAAACTTAATAGCTAGGGATCACTTAATCACAAATTCCACACTTCGTGTCATAAAATAATGTAGAAAAATCTTGGTTGAAATATAAATTTCAGCTAGTTTTAATGGGGACTTTTTCTAACACCTCAAAACTCCAAAACGTGGACCAATATTGATAACGCATGGTACGGGGGATCATATGTAATAAATCCTCAAAATACTGTTATTTAGAGGTAACGAAGGATTAATTTTAATTACTTCTGGTAGAAAATGCCGAAAATTGCAGGCGGAGGAAAATGGCTAAATCGTCTTAGAATTCCATACTTTGTAGTATATAAACCAACAATTTTTGGCAGAATATCCCCCATATGAAATACGTTTATACGAGAACAAAAGAGGTCTACCTTTTTATACTCTTTACCACACGTGGTACAGGATATTATGTCTTTGTGCATATGTTTGTAATAGGCAAAAGGAAACGAGATAGGCACATTTTAAGTCGATTTACGCATGTCCGTCTGTCCATGCTTTCTTGTATTTTGATGAAATTTTGTCCAAGGACATACCCTCTTGAAATTGGGAAAATCGGTTCAGATTTATATAGCTTCCATATATATATTTTTTTTTTTGTCCGATTTACTATAAATGGTGCGCCAAAGTCCCAACATTTCTTTCGATTTGCACGAAATTGGGCATAGCGTACTGAAATAAGTAATGTGAAATCGGTTCAGATTTAGATTCCATATATATTTCCGTCCGATTTTTAGTAAATTGTACACCAAAGGGTCAACGTTAGGTCAATTGACACAAAATTTAGCACAACGTAGTGAAGTTAAGACAGCCTAATGTGGTTTGACACCCCATTAGAATCAAAAGTATCACATTATAGTCAATTCGTTAAAAAACGCGCCTGCTCTCTGGGGGCTACCCTGAATATAAATAATTCTTGGTAGTCAGATTTTCCGTCCAATGAGAATTCAAAATATAAAATTGAAGCCACCTCGGTTGAAAAACTTACCCAAAGTCACCAAAATACCAAATTGCAGAAAATTAGGTTGACAGATTTGCCGAATGTTTCAAAATATCGAATATACGTAGGAATAGTAGCAATGTACGTGTAGTAGCTCTGAGTTCAATATTGCGAGCTGTATCGATATTTAATCAGACAGACGGACATGACTAAATCGACATAGAAATTTATTCTGATTAAGAATAAATGGAGTATCAGGTGAATATACACTCATTTCACAATTTGTGTATAAATGATTTTTAAGAAATACAATCTCAAGACAAAGTTCTTTCTATAATTTTTTAGCAATTTTTAACTTTTTTTGCACTTTCTAGCATTTTTTAACAAAACCTACCACTTTTTTGGTCACAACATACCAAATTACAGCCAATTCTTTTCATAAACTTGTCCAAAATCATCAAGATATTTTGGGGGCTACCCCAAAAAGTTGTCCGATATTGAGAATTTTCAGTAGAGCGATTTCATAGCAAATGGTTATACCAAATTACAACCGTTTCGGTTATATGGTGGTTACCCAAAAAATGGACCGATAATAATAATTTTTAGTGGAGTGATTTGGTATTCAGTAAGGACGCAATGTGCCAAATTATAGCAATGCCTCATCGTGGACTAATATAGTGCATCTTCGATTTTAACTGGCCTGCAAACAAAAGACGTTGGCGATCACAACCCGTTACGAGGCTAGAGTGATTACAATAGAATATATACCTCTTACAGGGTCTTATTTTTATGATTTATATAATTTTTATACCCTCCACTATGGTTGATTTTTTAGAAGACTATTTAAGTGCTAACCCTCAGGATTAGTGATAGAATCCCTCCTTGCGGTGTCGTCCGTTCTACTGATCCCAAATAGTTATGACGTGTGATATATTCCCTAGCACATGACTAACACAGTGACAAGACGTATAAGTATCCAATCCATTGATCTCCCTTTTATAACCCATTCTGTTTATATGTTAGTGCATCTCTGGGGATGGTGTCGACTGTCCGTTCCATATTTAATAATTAAATTATTAATAATTTCGTGATTCTGTCATTTTTCAGCCATCTTAATTTACACCCCAAGGAATGTTAAAATGTACTCCCAAATTTTTATGTTGCACTGTGTAAAATAATCAAACCCATTAATATGGGTGTACATATTGTGAACTGTTAAATGTTGTATTAAAATAAACATCCTTTACGGTAATGTCGCCAGCTCAAATGTTTTCTGGTAGTCTGTCTCAAGGTCGTCGAAGTTTTTTAAAATTTCATTGCCATTGTTGTTGTTGCTGTTCTTAGCTCCCTTGGCTTGATATCTCATAAATAATTGAATAACAATAAAAACGTGTACGAAAACGTGTTTTTGGAGCATTCGACGATGTCTTCTTACATGGACTGGCAGCATATACGAGCAATACATACCAGCAACAGAAATAAAGACGAACATTCGTCGGGGTACAGTTACATTGGCGTAACTGAGTAGCTTCATTTTTATGGCATTCCAATATTGGATTACCACCAGAATATAATATAACGTTAATGCTTATTTACAGGTATTCGTATTAATGGAATGTTGTGTTAATGGAATAATGAAGACTTACTAGTTACAGTGTCGATGTGAATGTGTTTTAAGATTTCAATCTATCGGAATCTGTAATTAAAGTCTGCCAAAAAGGCATAGGGAAATAATACTATAAAATGCAATGGAATGGAAATCCATTACTTTTGGGTATAGAATAGATAACACGTATGAATCTAAATCAAACAGTCGCCGAGAGAGTAGGCACTGTTTTAACTAATGTTTATATATACACTGTAGATCGGATTTCGTGGTTTCAAAAGAAATTGCTCGGCCAGGAAGTGAATGTGGCAATATTCAGACAAAAAGGCGGTTATCATATGACCATAATGTATGGATTTAACAAAAAGCAATTAGACGTAATGGCCTCTTTTTAATTACATGTGGATTCTCAGAACCCCAAATACGACAGTGAGTAAATTGAAGAAAATGTTCCTGAAAAAATAAGCATTTTTCAGACAAATAATCGTTTTACCAGAACCTTTTACAAAAAGTCTTTAATTAGATTGTCGTAGGTGTCAAATCATAGACTTATGTATGGACTTAACAGCAATTAACGAAACATTCAACGAAATTTGTTTCTGAAATAAGCATTTGTCAGCAAATCGCCTGTTTCACCGGCAAATATCTTTACCGGCCAAACTTTGGCAAGTACCAAAATAACGCATCAAAACGATCGATGAAACAATTTCAGATTTATGCTCATTGACATTTCACAGTAAAAAAATATTTTGCGATTTTTTGTTTGGTGCATTCAGTTGTGAGTTACATGGTGTTAAAATGGAAATGAACAAAGGGAAAATTCGGTACATTTTACAGTTTATCTTTGACAAAGACGAAAATGCAAGCCAAGCGGCTAAAATTGTGAATGGTGTTTATGGTTCCCATACTGTAGCAATTTTGGTTTCGTAGATTCCATTCAGGAATTTTTGATGTCAAAGATGCACCCCGCACAGGTAGGCCGGTCTCCGAAAATGTCGATAAAATAGGAGAAATGATCGAAGTTAATTTTGGTTTTGTAGATTCCATTCAGGAATTTTTGATGTCAAAGATGCACCACGCACAGGTAGGCCGGTCGTCGTAAATCTCGATAAAATCGGAGAAATAATCGAAGCTGACCGATATATTAGCAGTCCTAACATCGTCCAGGAGCTAAAAATCTACCATAACTGTTTTAAACCATATACACAAAAAAATAATGGATTTCTTTTTTGTAACAGGTGGTTTCCTTTGTGAATTTGCATATCATATAGCAGTCCTATCTGTCCATGTTAAATTGAAACCAAAGTACAGATCGCATTTATTATCCGAAAGAGATGAAATTTAGCACAGCCTACTTATTTGGCCCAAGGACGAACCCGAAAAATCGGTTCAGACTTAGTTATAACTCCCATAAGTTTTGGATAAATTGGTTCAGATTTAGATGTAGCTCCCATATACATTTTCGTCCGATTTATGTGAATGGTGCAACAAACTCCCAATATATATTCGATTGAGACGACATTTTGCTTAACGTACAGAATTATTTCTACAATTACAAGTGTTAAGTTTCGTTGAAATCGGTTCAGATTTAGATATAGCTCCTATACATGTGTCCATCGGATTTTATGTAAATGGTGCACTAAACTCCCAAAGTTTGTCCGATTAAGACTAAACTTGGAATACCATACTGTACTGTGTCTGTAATGA